TTCTTTTCTTTTATTTTTATTGTTCGGGACGAACAATGGTTTAAGTGTGGGGGAGTTGTTCGTTTCATTTTTGTCGTGTTTTTCGTGTTTATTTTATCTTTATTTTTCCCCATTTTAGGTATTTTTTTTTTGGTTCTTGGTTCATTTTGTGTCTTGTCGTGCATTTTCCTTTATTTTGTTTATTTTAGGAGTTCTCGTTTGTTTCTCCAGGTTTTCTGCATTTTTTTGTCGGTGGTCATGTGCAGGTTATGTGGCTCGGTCGGTTGTTAATTTCGAAAGGGAAGTAGTCATGCGAGAATTACTATCTAGAAGGTTGAGTTCGAGTCGAGTAGAAAAAGACAGAATTAAATTCCGAGTCTGGATGCATGCGTATGAAAATATAGCCCGCACCAGTTTTTCCTCTCCGCGGTCGCGGGATGGGAGGTCGCAGCCGCGGGACACTCTTGCTCCAGTTTTACCACGGCCTCTGGACGAGTCGCGGCCGCGGAGCTTTTCTGCACCGCGACCCGCGGGACTCTCCGCGGTCGCGGAGGCCGCGATTTTCAGAATTTAAAACTCATATTTTAATAGCGTAAGGGAGAGGTTTCCAGATAGGTTTGGAACGTTTGTAATCGTATTGATATTTTTCACTTGGAAAACACCATTTCTCTTAGTTTTTCATTGGGATTCAACTTGGAGAGTAAATACTCCAAGATTTATCTTTTCGGATTTGTTTTGCACTCGAGATTTGACATTAAACCTTCGCATTAATCGTAAGCTCATATTTTCATTTTATTTATGAATTTATGGCTTTGTTTGATATGAATGTTGATGAGCTAAATTCGTTAGCTAGGGTTAGGGTATAATCGTTCCGGTTCGATTTCGTTTATGTGCATGTTGATTGTTCAATCTTTTCGAATTGTGTTAATCCTATGGTTAGATGATTGATCACCATCTTAATCTAATTAATCGATTTTAGAACCGAAAATGGGAGAAATCGTTCGATCTAAGCTCGTTTTAAATAGGCTTGTTCGTAATGGTATTGCCTATGTGTTAATTATTTCGATAATTATTCGTTTATGTTCATCCTCTTGTTACGAAGAGTTATTGAGGATAGATCTAGATGAGTAGTTCGTCGAGTCATTTAACCGAATTCTTGATTGCTCGTTAAATCTATTTAGAACCGGAAGCAATTGTCCGACACCCTAGCCCCTTTATCACTATTTGAATTGTGTTTTGAGTTGTGAGATTGAAATAGCTGCCCTTGTTTTAGAATTCGTAGTTGATAAAACAAACCAAATCTATTGAATTAGAATGTTTAGGACTTTGATTTCTCTTTTCGTATAAATTGAATACCGTACAAATAATCCGGCCAACCTTTCTTGAGATACGACCCGGTGAACGAATCTTTCGATTATACTTCGATAAAAATACTTACAACAGTCTGCCCGGCCGAGCTGGCCTTAGATTCCAACAGTTGTAGCAATAAGCTGGTAGGGATTAAGTGTGATCGGCTCACGCGCTGAGTAGTAGCTGGGGGGCTTCCTGGAGATGGCTTGGCGTTATTGGGGATAAAGTTTGGAAGACGATAGCCGAGCTACTAAGAGCAGGGGAGCCGATGTGATAAGGCCCTGCGAAATCAGGATTCTCGGACGTCTATAGATAAGTTTTGATGTGCTTTCAAAGAGAAGGGCTAGAGGAGGGTTTATGGGTGTCTTGGGATCCTGCCATGACGGGACTCCTAAAGTATATAACGGACACCTAAAGTACATAACGGACAGGTTCTTTCATTCTTAGACACGAACACACACATTTTTTCCAATACCCTTACCGTTTCTCCTAAAAGCCCTACATACTTGAGCGTCGGAGTGTTCACGCCGGGACTACCCCCGGCGTGTTTTGCAGGTACCGGCAATCGCGAAGAAATAATCCGGTTCGGAGGGGAGCGGTTGAACGGTTCGAGGAAATTTGACATAAAAAATAGAAAAAATAATGAAAATATATCTGGGCATAGACTGAATTATCTAAAATTCTCACCATCAACGTGATCATGATGATGATGAGTCACAAAGACGACCAACTTTAGCGGAAGCCTCTTAATAATTTCTTCAAGCTGATAGCATAACACAAAATGTCAATAATGTCATCAAGGTATTTTTTTTAGATAGAAATAAACTAAAAAATGGTGACCTGTACGGCTGCATATTGCGTGTAGAATGAATCACTCAAGAAAAATTTGTAGATAAATAAATAATCCACAAACCACTCCAAAAAACAACAATCCTTGGAGAGTTATAGCTTGGATTCATGGGGTAATTAGTATAATCTAAATTTAAGGATAATCGAAGGAAAAATACTGAAGGAATACAATCTTGTCATTGTAATGTAATTATTTTGGTACCATCATTCAAAAACTGAAGAATCATAAAATAAGCCAGCCCCCTAATTTATATCTTTATTTTATTCTGTGATGATTTAAAAAAGGCATATTGCAATACCTCTTTGTGCATGCTAGAGCTGCATCCAGGATCTATAATGAGTGCATCTGCACTTGCAACAAAATTATCACCACATGAGGCATCATAAGTAGTCCCAGGAGAAAAAACGACCAAGTTTGTTGTGTGAAAAGGCTTTGTTGTTCTGCTTCTCATTGGAATAATTTTAACACCAGGAGGATATTCCTGAAAAAACGAGACCATCGTGCTGTAAATTTGGTTCATGTTCCAGAATGTGGGACCTTGAGGTCATTTTAACATATCCCTCATAGACCAAAAGAAATTTACGGATAAAGCTACAGCACCTAAGTACAACCATATCATAGTTGCAAAATGGTTCACCAAAAAACTACTACTACTACTACTACTACTAATAATAATAATAATAATAATAATAACGATAAAAATAATAATAATAATAATAATAATAATAATAATAATAATAATAATAATGAAGAAAAAGAAACAACAAACGCAGAAAAAAAGAACAGGTAAAACAAGAAAATATAGGTGAAAATGACAAATTACATTACTTTTTTCTTTCTCCATCATCCTAAAGAAATAAACATACCTGAGATCTCAAGGTGGGAGGGAGTTGCAAATTTGCGCATTGCATTGAATCATTAAGAATACCAAGAGCAACTAATGGCCCTATGCGATCATTCCTGGAGTTCACTTCCGTAAGCAAATATGAACATCCTTTCATGCTCATCCACTTACAACAATCTGTGCCGGTAACAGACATAATCATACAAGTAAGGCATAATACTAACCAGCCATCACACTAATTCACACACACACACACACACACACGCTCCATATTGCAGATAAATAAAGCAAGCAAACCTCATAACAAGTACTACAAATATAATAATCATATAAATATTAGGATATTCGTGAACCCAAAAAACATGCAGATCCAACACGCCAGATGTGCATCTGTACTTAACGAGAATAATAGAAATTCGAAGCAGTACCGAAGCTGAAAAGTTCAAAAAATTCCAAGCTTTATCATTTTCGAGTCTAACAAATGTCATGTGAGCAGAGTTTTGAAAACAGTACCTTTTGTCATCTGAGCAAGAGACTATATAAGATTATTCTAAGAAACAATAAAAAGAAGTAGTTCCATTATATTCCCAGGCATCCTATTATGACAATATGATTCTACTTCCCTAAAACATACACTGAGCTATCATAAAGGGAAAATGAGGTATGAAGTAGAATTAGAAATCACAAACCTTCTAAATTCCCATCATGACACTCTAGTTTCCCAACAATATACACAGTCTTCACAGGATCACCGGGTCCAAATTCAGGTTCCTCTACAACCTTTGAGAAACTCCACTTTATATTAATGGGTTTCTCACTTACAACTTGTTCAAGAACCTATATAAGAGCCATTCAGAAACAAAATTAACATGTAGCTATATTAGGCAATGCAGAAATCATAAGGAATCATATAACATAAGCCAATGTGGAGATCAGAATTACTCAATATTTCTACCTACTTAGTGACGCAGACGAAAGCACAACGAAAGAAGCAAGATAATTCGAACGATAAAAGTTTTATTTATTTCTTCTAATCTGCCTGCTACTGCTGGCATACATCGGCTTTTAAAGAAAAGAATAAGAGTCCTACTACAATCAAACCTCCCAAATTAATCAAGAGATAAGTAGGAAAATTATTAAATAGCTACTTATTTATTTAAAATAAAAGAAGAGATAATAATGATAGAAATAATCCCAAAACAGCTTAGACGAGAGGCGCCAAACGATCATGTCGGTCAAGAAATGCGAGTGCAATCTCGTCCTCATCATCCTCCCCCGGTTGGGAAGGATTCGCCCTCGAATCTTGCAAAATCTCGTCCTCAGAATTGTCCCCAAGGAAAGGAACGAGGTGCTTGACGTTGAAAACATCAGAGGTGCGGACATGCGACGGCAAACGGAGGCGATACGCA